TATAAATATACTGATAAATTTATCCCTTGGGGGATGCTGTGCTTTAGTTTGTTACTCTGAGTCAAATCTTAGAGGCCAAAGTGATTGCTAAACCATGATCTACAGCATTCAAGGTACAAAGACAGAATGCAGATACCTTCAACATTAGATATTCTTTCCCTACACATTCCTCAGCCAGAGACAATTTTGCCCACCAGGGGTCATCATTTGGCAAAGCCTAGAGACATCGCTTGATCTTACATCAGGGCGGGGGGATGGTGTAGGCGGTTAGTGATTAGAGGTCAGAGATCATGAAAGACACCTTGCAACACCCAGAACAGCCCACATCAGAAAATACTCTGGTCATAAATGTCCATGCTGCCAAAGGCAAGGAACTCTGTTTTAAAGGAAGGACTCATTCATACAAAGCATGTTCCTGGGTATCATACCCACATGCTACCCTAAGCCTGGGTTAGGAATGGATGCCAAGGGTTAGCACACTGGATCAAGAATAGAACACGTTGCGCTCAGAAGCCCCTCTTGCGCTAGAGCATGGTAGCTAGTCTCATGGACAGAAAACACCATGTGACATATGCACATCCTCTAGTTCTACATCTGCCCAATCTGTCATCTCCCTAAAGAAAATCTCTCCCCAAGGCATTAACAGAGAAGGAATTCAAAGAAAGACACACTCAGAACAAAGGCAAACATGTCAACCAAGTGATTATAAAAAATGAAGAAAACATTTACATAGAGCTTTTGCATATACCATTATTACAATTAATTTTAAAAACAATACAAATATGTAAATAAATTTCAAAGGGGTCAAATAACTGCAAATATTCACACTATAAGAAAATCTGAAGTTGGCAAACCTGGATGTATTGGAGATAGTTATCTACCGTGCTGCCTTTTGGAATATTATAACCTTGGTAAAAGGTGAAATCTGGTCCGAACATGTTTTCACTGAACCAAACCTTTGCAAATGTGTTCAGCAACCTCTTATCATAGTCATCCGTGACTCTGCCTCCATACTGAATCTCTCCTATCATATAACGAACGGTGGTCCAGGAAACACCCTGGGAACATTCATAGAACAATTATACGGCAATCTGTATTCACAGTCATCAACATCATCTATTCAGTCATTCTTTGTCAGGAATTTCAAAGAGAGAATACAGAAAAAAGTTAAACAAGTTATCATGAGAAACTACTTAAATCTCTTTTTCTTAATTCCATCCCTTGATGCGTTCCTGATTTCACACCTGAATGTCTTTAAAGTTTACTCTCTGAAAATACTGAGGCAGTTTTTTAAAAAAAACACACATCTCCAATGTGATCCAGACTCTTGACTTTATTTTTAGATCTCTGCCCCCTCCCGTCTCTATCCCTGCTGTAGGTCCTTTTAGGTCGAGCTTGCCTTTGAGATCTAAGATAGTAATCAAAATTTTTCTAAATCAAGAAGCAGTTATGATCCAAGTAGCCAGGAAAAATCCCCACAGTATTCACTCCAGATGGGGCCACTGTGTGAGTCTGGCCACCCAAGCCCAGGATCCTCATGGCATAAAGCAGTCCATTACCTTTTTGATATCCATGTCATCTAGGTGGTTTTGGATGAACTGCACGGTGGCATTGAAGTCTGCTTGATTAAATTCATAGGGGATATTCCACCCCAGAGGACCAAACTTTCGCCTCTCCTGGACAGTAGAATGCAGGAAGGCCACTGCATACAGCATGGGCTTCCACTGGGTCCCTGTGCTCATGTCCAGCAGGTCCTGGCTCACTCCTGTTGAGGTTAAGAGGATGAACAAATTTGTCATCTCTCAGACTCCTTTATTTTCTATTCTTCTTATAAGGAACAATTTTTGCAAATTCCCTACCTTAAGCTCTAGTTATTTTGTATCACGCTTATTACATTCATATGATAATTATAATTTGAATTTAGACTATTTGGAGACAATTTCTCTTTGAAGCATCTGCTAAAAGACTTGTGGGGAAGTTGTGGGGAAGGCTTGCTAACATGAATCAAATTCTTAACCCAGTAAGATGGTATGAGGAATAGAAAGACGGGAGGGAAAGGGCTATTAAAATAAATACTGATATTACCATGAACTGAGAATGGTAATTATAGTAATAGCTGAGGCATGTAGTTGGATGATATGCTTTTAGTTTAATATTAATTAAAATAATATATTGCAACCCAAATACAGACCCCAAATAATTATACATCAATAAATTATACATATTAACTAATTTTCATTGCTATTATCTGTTTAGCTCTATTACAGCCCCACATTACCTTGCAGATGGGCAGGGTTTGACTCTTTTTTTAAAATATTTTCACTAAGTTTTTGTGCATTTTATATAATAGATATTAAATTTAGATCCCCTCCCCTATATGCACCCCCATAGCCCCCCCACCACCAGATTTCATGCATTCTGTCATATACGTTAAGTCTTATTCGATCAAGCATTTGTACCCAAATGTCCCTAGGTACAAGTTTCTCCACTGGAGTCTAGTCAACCTATCTAGAGTCATTCCCTTAAAGAGCTACTCATCCTCACCTTGCAGTAATCAGTTGCCAATAGATCCTCGGCAAGGCTTGGGGCCTGCTGCCCATTTCCCCAATTCTATGCTGGGTTTTTATCTGATTGAGTTTGCCTGAGTCTTGAGCATGCTGTCACCATTGTTGCAAGTTCATATGAGAAAGTTCCCAGAAGCCTGAAAGCCTCTGTTTCTTTATGTTCACGTACCAACCCTGGCTCTTACAAACCCTCTGTCTCCTCTTCTGCGATGGTCCCTGAGCCATGGGTGGGTGACATTTAATATAGGAATCCCATCCAGAGACATGCACTCTGAAATCTCTTGATTACCTCCCAGAACTTGAAGGTAAGACCTTATTTCTGAAGACTGACCATATTTCAGACACAGGACTTGGAGCAATGGAGCTGGACCTGACCTGGAAGCCTTCTCCCTGAAGACTAGCTCTCATAGTTCTAGAGGGCACAATGCAAGCTTGCTAAGGAAGAAAATCAATCAATGGTCCAACCCAATTATAAAGTCTAATAATAATCACAATGACTGGCACAACAAACTATATATTGCTGCAGTAGTGGCACTTTTATCTAGGGGGTAATCAACAGTTATCTAGTTGGACTTAAAGCCCTCTTGATGGGAGGGAACTCATGGGTGGCACTGTAAATATAGCCAAATACACATGGCTGAAGAGGTCATAAATCCTAGAAAGAAAAAAACGCCTTATCTCTGTCCTATCACTAGACAAATGAAATTTCTTACTGTATGTTAAATATGGATACTTATATTTATAGACAAGTATACCATACACCACTCATCAAAGAAGCTTCTTTTTGTAACAGAGGCTATTACAGAGTTTCACAACTGATCATACACAAATAAGAGACCCTTAATACATCCCTCAGCTCTCACCAGTGAAGGTTCCTCATACAGCAGAGTGTGAGGCACACAGAAGACCACAATTGGCCAAGTTTTAGAGAATAGGGGTTTGACTTTTACTGGCAACTCCCTTAAAAATATCTGTAGATTTTTTAAATTGGAATATAGTAATTGCATTATTTTAGTCAATATATTATTTTAGTTATAATGTAATCCCCCTGAAGAGATTTTGTTGATCATCCTTTACATATAAGAAAACTGAAACTCAAGTTTTTTGAGTGACAAGTAGCAAGTGAATACAGCTGTCAACAAGGACCAGGATCAAAATTTTAAACTCCAAGCTCCAGGTTCTTCTAATGACCAGAGTCCAAGGCTTCATGGTAAGAGGCAGAGAACGTGAAGACAAAAGCACAATCTTAGGTCCAGTTGTGACTAGAGGGTCATTTTGGTCTGTTTTGTTATTTTATGATTTTTTATT